TACTTACCATAGCTATATTACTGTATTATCATACAGAATTTTAAAGATTTAAAAAAGTGTTTTAAAACAATTAATAGTCTTTGTAAATAATTATTATACTAATAATATTTAAGATTTTTTACATAAGACAAATTGTATAACAGATTAAATAAATTGCTGTATTATTATATTTGAAATATAAAAATAAATAAAATTATTATTTTTTTTTAAAATTTTAAAAATTTTAAAATTTTTCTAGCACTAATATCTCAAACTACTTTAAAAAATTTTGTTAGTCAAGATGAAGATATTGAAAATAGTCAAAAATTTAGTGAAATCGATGAAATTAGTAATGAGAATAGTAATATTAAAAGTAAAAAAAGAAAAAATATAATCAGTACAAAGATCAGTTGATAGTTCTGAAGATTCTAATAATAAAAGTTTAAGTGAAGATAGTCAAAATAATGATCATCAAAAAAGAAAAAGAACAAAAAAAGTAGTTAGTAGACCTGAAGATCTTGTAATTAATGAATTTATTAAACTTGGAATTAGAGATAAATATGAGTATGTAGCAATAAAATGTAAATATTGAATAAAATTACTTCATGAGGATGGCCTAGTGAAATGAAGTCTTATTTGGTATTAGAATGTTAAAATATACTAGAAGATATTAAGCAAAAATATTTACTTGTTTTAATAAATTCTAAAATGTAGAAAAAAAAGAAAATTATTGAAATTAGAACTAAAAATCAACCAAAAATTACTAATAAATTTCAGTTAATTTCTATTGATCAAGGTTAAGAACAACTTATTAACAAAGCTTTGACTAGATTTTTTATTTGTTGTAAAATTCCTTTTTGGGTTATTAAAAGTCCTTTTTTTATTGATTTATTTAAAAATCTTAATGTAAGTTATAAACCTCCTGATTGAAAAACTTTAAATAATCTTTGGGTTAATCAAAAAATTGTACAAATTACTGTAGATATTAGTGAGCAACTTAAGCAACATGATAATTTTTTTTTTTTTATAATTTCAACCTGTAAGTTGAGGTGAGGTCTTGCCTCTATCTTTATTTTTGTAAAATATAGTTAAGAGTTTACATGAAACTACCTGGTAATAA